GCCCCACAGCCTCAGGGAGAGAGTTGGCAAGGCTAAAAAACCATGGGGGTTCCAGCCAAGTAAACTGGGGTTCAGGGCAGAACTCCAGTTCCAGGAGGGAGAATGGAAAAGATGAACAGGAACTGGGGCTGAAGCCCAGTTACTAAACAAGGCACACAGGTGGCCAGGCCCATTCCCAGCACATGGATTGCAAACTCCCATCTGCAGAGTTCCAGAATCCCATGACTGGCTTTTGAAGAAGCAACAGAACATGAATAAGGAGCAGGGTTGAGAGGCTATCAAGCACTTACAAAGGCATGAGGAGCTAGTGGGAAATGGCAAATTAATCAATCAGACTGGCATAAATAGGATTGCCAGATAAAATACAGGATGCTTACTTACATTTGAATATCGGATAAACAAGGAATACATTTTAGTATGTGTGTCACAGGCAATATCTGGGATATATTTACATAAAAAAATGGTGTTTACCTGGAATTTAAATTTAACTGGGTATCCTGTATTTTTATTTACTAATCTGGCATGTGAGTAATGGAGGACGAGGCTGGGAGGCTTGGCAGAGCAAGATCACAAAGGGTCTTGTGTGCCATGCTTGACATATAATGAGCAGTCATGGCAGTTTTTAAGTGGGGGAATAATATGATCGGGTTTGCATTTTAGAATCAACACTGTAGTAGTCCTTTGGAGGACAAAGCAGTTCAGAAAGACAGAAACTGAGAGACTAGAGGCTATTTAAGTAGCTCAGACTCGAGAAGAATTGAATATGACTTGCTCACTTCACACTTTTGCCTAACGCCAGAGAGATTGCCAAGTTCACTTGGACTGTAGAGACCAAACAGTTCTTTCCAGAATTGCTCTTTGGAGTGGTGGGGAGGATATAGATATTTGCCTTGCCCAAACTTTGTGTCAGTTGCACACTTCTTGAGAAAGTTGGAAAGATATCTATATACATCAATCTCCTGCAAATAAACTGAGTATCTTGTTCACCACTGTATCCCCAGTACGTAATCAATAAACACTTGATGAGTTCCTCAAGGGCAAAGTCTATGTCTTTATTGTCTTTGTTTTTTTTTTAGCTCCTGACCCAGGGCTGGGAATAAGTTTCTCAGAAAATAGTTCTTGATTAAAGTGGTCTAATTAATTAACAACCAGAAGTGCTTCTTATTAACTACATCTTCTAACACTACTTCAAAGTACAACTTGCATATTTTTCACACACATGCAAAAGAAGCCTGACTTTTTTTATACTGGACCAGAAAACTGTTATTAAAAGCTGCAGAATTACACTGACTAGATGGACTTTTAAAAGTAATCCTCCTCATGTGGAAATGTGTTTTTGTTTGTGTCTTTTTCTTGGGCATTTTCCTAACTACTTCCATATGTTTGTCATTGCCTCAGTATTAATAAATCTAGATCTTAATTAAATACCTCTCAGGTAGGTCATCAAAAAGTGGTACAAACCAAGCATGTGTCTTCAATCTTGCAGCACCAGTATAGTGACTCAAATATGTGTCTTCTGAGGCTCGCTGGAACTTATTGAGGGCAGAACCTGCTCTTATTTATCTTTATACTCACAGAACTTTCACTAATAGTGGGTTTGCTGAGTGTTCAAGAGCAGAAAGCCAAAAGGGATAGAACTTTCTAAGAAGTGCATGGGGTAAATACAAATACAATAAAAAAATATTAAAACCACTCATTTAAAGATTATGTCACATTTAAAGTATTATGCTAGGTCTTTACATATATTTTATTAAATATCAATCTCAAAAACTCCTCTCTGAGCCAGGTGCTATAAGGCTCACTTCATGAATAAAAAACTGAGAATCAGAATTGATGAATAACTTGCCCAGGAAGACACAGCTAATGGACCTGATTCCAAAGTCCATGCTCTCACACACCAAATTGTTATTTTTCAAGTGCATATTGGAGAGATGGAAGATTTTTGATGTGCCTGTAACAGCAGCTCTCTTTGATCAGCAGCTGTGTGGAAACCCAAAGAACTAAACTTTGATCGTCTTTGTAATACGTGAGTGCACGTATCTGGAAGACAAGAACTCTGGAGGTATTTCCTCTATTTTTGAGCAACGTTCCTTTTTTCTCTCTTCAGCTTTGTATTTAAGGGAGCACATGGCTTCAAATATAATTACGTTTCATCTCCACCTTGCTGCAAGGTGATATTGTTACACTTAAAATTATTATCATGCTATTATTATCTGGGACGAATACATGATCAGTAATGATGTCATCATCAAGGATAGCAACACTTGGAGTTCCAGTTCATGCTCATATATGCAATGGAGCCTCGTGAATCTGGAAGTGTAGGAACTCATCTGTGACAATCCAGACCCTTCGCTGAGATGTAAATATAATTGCAAGCATCAGTTATTCTCCGGTCTTTAAAGCTGCAAATGTGCAATTTTTGTCCAGATGCTGACATCTTTTCAGCAGCTCTCTTCACCCTGCCTCTTTAACTAATTGCCAGCTTCCTCACTTAGTTCACTGGGTTTCAGGGGGAACCAGAGTCTCATTAAGAATGTTACCTCTCCTGGCTGGCATAGCTCAGTGCATTGAGCTGGGGCTGCAAACCAAAGTGTTGCAGGTTCGATTCCCAGTCAGGGTACATGCCTGGGTTGCAGGCCATGACCCCCAGCAACCGCACACTGATGTTTCTCTCTCCCTCTCTCCTTCCCTTCCCTCTCTCCTTCCCTTCCCTCTCTAAAAATAAATAAATAAATAAAAATTAAATTAAAAAAAAGAATGTTGCCTCTGATTATTTGATTCCAGGATGAGCAGGGCTAAATCACAGCTTAACGCCGCCAACTTTTTGGAGTCTATGAAAGCAAAAGTCAAAGGGCAAGTGTTGGCATAACTAATCATATGAATTGGAATGAATTTGAAGAGGAATCAAATAAAAACATAAATAAAAGAAGGGGACAGAAAGCACTTGGTTCAAAAAAAATTAAGGAAACAAATTATGTTTTGATTGTCTCTGTTAACTGGAAGCCTGACAAAAATGGTCTGCAAAGGTGTAAGAACCAGAAAGCATCTCTAGTGTTCTGCCTCTACCAGAAACATCAAAGGAATTTCCTACAGATGGTCAGGATAGAATTACAGAAAAATCTTCACAGGCCTCCTTCCTTCTTTCACTCATTGCCAGATAGGGTGCTAAACATGGGAAATATAAAATGTACATGTTATGTCCCTGGCCCTCCAATCTTACCCTGTAGTTCACTGAAGTGTCAAAGTCACCAGTAAGTAAATAGTCAAGGACACAGTGGGTGCACAAAAAGGGAGAGGTTAACTCTGTGATTCTTAAAAAAAATCATAATCATGTAGGGCTGCTCAGTGAGATGACAAACTTTCCCAGGTAAAAGTGAAGTGGACTCTGAGTTAACGGACACACTTGAATCAAATCTTAAGAAGGGAGGTCTTGAAGAAGCAATCAATTCATACCGATCTAGGGAGGAAATGATCTGGTGAGTGTTCTTCATCTTCAATTTGTTGAATATTACTTTTACAAAGCAGAATTTCTGCCATACATTACTAAGCAATCCCCCCTCTCCATGTCCATCCCCCACCCTCCATCTCCAACCCCCTAACAGTTATCAGGTGAGCTGGGCTGAATCTGAACTCCATTCAAACATATGACCTGCAGCAACTCCGTCAGTGCTCACGGCCTCAGTTTCTTCCCCTGTAAATTGCGGAACCCAGATCATTTCTGCTTCGAATTATGAAATACAGACAAGAAATCAGAAAGGAAACTCAAGAGAAACAAAAGTGAAAGTGCCCAAAGGAGATACAGCAGTAAACAAAAGTACAAAATTTTATATCTCCCTGAAAAAAATGTGGCAGAATTCCCAAATATTTTTTTTTCCAGCAACCGTGAACACGGGACTTGGGAAAGAATGAAATGTCTATCACGCTTTCTGAATGTGAAGAAGACAGTGCAGCATGAATCCACCTTGCTCCAATCAACTGTCTTCTTAAAAAATGCTCCCCGACCCTAAACGGCCATTTATTAGAAATTTCTTCCAAAGACATTAGTCCTTGATGTATACGGTCCGTTCCCACAATAACAACCCTCCCCCTGCCCCCACAAAATACAATACAAAGGTGCGTCCCACTTTGGGCAGAGAGAGAAAAGGGGTAAAGAGTGGAAGGATTCGAACTGATACTAGATGCTGCTTGGCGTTGCCCCGCGGTTGTTATAAACAACATAATCCAAGCAAACTCTTTTAAAACTTGGGCAACACTTTATCATTTCTTTCCTTAGGTAATAGTGAGACCTCTCTGAACATAACCCAGAACGGTACACTCGCCTGGGATCTAGAGCGCGAGCTTTGGGGTTGACCGGCAAGTGGGGGGCACCAGAAAGGACAAAACTGACAGCTTCGTTGAGTGTTTGCGGCGGGTGTGGAGCCAGGACACGCGACCACCTAGGCTAAAAGGTGCGACCTGGACCCACCAATGGTCACTGGGCTCCCTAGGTTGAAGGATGCTCCGTGTCCGCTGCGGCAGCCTCTCTTCGCGGAGCAGAGAAAAGGGTGCGCGCGCGCGCACTCACACACACGCGCACCCTTCCCTTGCAGTTGTGTCTCGTCTCTCTTTTGTTTTTCTCCCTTCCCGGTCATGAGACCCGGAAGTTTGTTTTTTTTTTTTTTAATCCCGTCTCTCCTTTTTCCAAACTCTCCCCCCACCCGCCCAATCTATCACATGGCAGAGATAGAATAAAAACAGAAAAATGGCGACGGTCACGTTGTGGCGAGCCTTGCTGCGTCATTAGATATTCTTCATGCAAATAGCGGGAAGAACAAAGGAAGGGGGGCTCGGGACCCGCGGGGGCGCAGGTGGGTGTGGGGGTGGCGGGCCCGGCGCGGGGGCGACGGCGCGTGCGGGGGCTGGGCGCCTGCGGGAGGCGTGCGGCCGCAGGGTTCCGTGCCGCCGAGTGTCTACGTCCGAGTGCGCGCCCGTGCGCCGCCGTGCAGCGCCGGCCGTGGGCGCCGGAGCCTGCCCGGGGGCGCGGTAAGCCGTGGGGCGAATAGAGGCGTTCGGCGAGGCTGGCTGCGGCGCGCGCACAAGCACACGCACCGCGGGGCTTTACCCACTCGGCGCCCGGGCGGGGGGCGGGCCGAGGGCAGGCCGGGCGGGGGCAAGGGCCGAGGGCCAGCTAGTGCCCGTCGCCCGCCTGCCTGCTTTCAGCCACCTGAGGGGACCGCACGCAGCTCGTCATCTCTGGGTAAGTAGTGGGGCGACTGCGAAGCGACGCGGGGCGGGCTCGGGGCTCGGCACTCAAGCACGGACTTAGAGCATGTTGCTTGCTTGGGTTTGTTGTTGCGGTGTGTTTTTCTTCCTGCGGGGTAGAGGGGGGAGACCTCGCCCAGGGCATTTCCGCGGTTTCCCTTAGGCCCTAGCTGGGATGTCAGGCATCGTGCTGGATGTACAAGGGAGCGGGTGGCCCCCGGGCACCCCGCTCCGGCCCCGAGGAGGGGGAGCGGCGTGGAGGGGCGGGGTGGGGTGTGTGTGTGTGTGTGTGTGTGTGTAAATAAATGTTGCGCACTCGCTTTTTTTCTACCCCCGCTTTCTTCCAGGGGGCTGGCGTGAGTCCCTCGAGGTCCGGCGGCGACTGTAAATAGAGCCTGGATGTTGTTTACATGAAGGATCCGGCGGGAGGAGTCTGCAAGGAGGAGGCGGAGGAGGCGGTGGCGGAGGAGGAGGAAGCGGAGGAGGAGGGAGGTAGGAGAGAGGAAGACCGGAGTCCCCCCGGCGGCAGCGGCGGCGGTCCGGTCCGGGGTGAGGGTGAGCCCCGTGCATTCCAGGGATGGGGCGCTAGTTAGCACGAGGCTGGGACGTCGTACCCTGGGGTAGGAAAGAGAATGGGCGCCGGACGGAAAGATGGGGCTCTGTCACCGTGGCATTTTTAGCTTGCAACCTGCCACGCAGATTCTCCCAAGCTAGAGGGGTGAGGGTGTGTAGGGAGGGCGGGGAAGCCTCGATTTCTCTTCACGTTCATTCTCTCAGCTCCAATCTTTTCCCGCTTCTCCTGTTTCACCTGTTTATTTTCTTCAAGAAGAGCTTGCGGTTTTTTATGTAGTCATGAAAGGCTGTTTCTTTTATTAGAAGCATTATTGGGGAGGGGGTTGTATTGCTGTAATTTATGCCAGTCCAGGTCGCTTTTCCAGAAGGGGGAGGGGACTTAGAGACCGCTGCTTCCTGGCCTTAGCTGACCCGAGGGCTTCTCCCTGTCATCCCAGGCCAATGAGTCCCTTCCCTCACTCTGCTGCCCACTCACAAGAAGCCACCTTCTTGGAGGAGGACCACACCTGTGCTTATTCCAGCTTTGGAGGAGAGGTGAGCCAAAAAACGAGGGAATCCTCGGGTCCCCAGAGCTTTTAGCCAATCCTCATCCCAGAATTGGCCAGAAACTGCTGTTTTCACCTGCCGGTTGCACTGGGCACATCTATCTCCCCTGACTGGCAAGTTGTGATCTACAGATGTCTTGGGATTTTTTTTCTTCCCTGTGGACCTGCACCCCACCAATCAGTAACTAACGGACTGCTAACGTTTAGATCGAGAGATGGAGGTGACCCCCCTGCCTTGGCCCAGTGCTGTTATTTATTCCACACTGGGTTTTCTAATGGAATCCTCAGCTGTCTCCCTGTAGTCCCCGTCATTTTTCCCCTAAGAGCTTAACCCAGAATAAGGCCTAAGCAGTTTCTGGCTCTTTCCCTGAGCCCCACCCTGGCCCCTCTTCGTTCTCCAGAGCCAAATATGCCTCCCAAAACAGAAAGCACACACCCATCCCCAAATCTAACCATTCGAAAGGGAGGAGAAAACCCTGGAAGGGAAGAGACCCAAGAGTCTCCTTTCTATCCTGAATGTCCTCTATATCATTTTCCTCTTTGGGCTTCCTGGATTTATAATCCCTTTATTCTTCTTACCAGCTGTCCCTCCCATCCCTTTCTGCATAGTCCTGTGATACTTGGGGAGCTGGGGATGATGGGTGGAGACAAGAAGTGATCACCCTTGTCCCCTGGATTGAGGCATTTTTCTTCTCCCCTGTGTTTTCATTTCTGAGATATTTAAAAGAGTAAAATATGTAAATATGTTTGCATGCTTATTTGAACTTGGTTTCTTGCTGGCTAATGAGTAGCTGGGACTCAAATGGGAGGGAGGGGAAAGAGATGAATAGTGAGTATTTCCCCTAGTTTCCACCATCTGAGCATCCCCAGGGTTGCTGGAGAAGACCCTTGTGTAAAAGCCAATGGTCTCCCTTCCATGACATCACCCCCTAAGCCTTTCCAACTTTAGCTTCAGAACAGGAAGAAGGCTCAAAATAGAACTACCTTAGGAATCCGGCTCCTTTAGAAGATCAACTTTTAAGTCAGCTGCAGGAGGAACACTAAACTTTGACATAGGGAGGGAAAGCTGTAGTGTCTGTAATTGGTTCCTTTGGGGAAGGGTGGGGGTATGCTTTTCATATATATTCAGAAAAGCTTTTCTCAACATAACTTGGGTACCTAGACCAATGAATGATTAATAGGATAGTTCGATATTCATTTATTGAATTATTCATATGTTTCAGTATGTCAACAATAATAAGCACTGTTCAGAATGAATTAAAAAGGGGCTCCTAAAATGTGGTCTAGAGAGTTGGCTAGAGATAGAGGAAGTTGTGGGGGTTAGGCTGGGAGGGAGCACTTGAAGAAGGCGAAGAATCTGAGGATGCAGTGACAGCTGCTGTGAGTGTGGAAGTCAACAGGCTCATTATAAAGAATGGCCATAACTTCTGAAGGGTGACAGATGTCCTGGACAGAGAAGTAACGATGTCAGGATTTTTAGCCCTTACCTCAGAAATGAACTCTGTGTCTCTGAATTTCCATGTCTCTATTCTTTCCCTTAATTGAGATGTGTCTGTCTGAGCTAAAAGAAGTTGTTCCGTCTTTGGAAAGAGCTGCTGATTAAGTGATCAACACTGAAATACAGACAATTTAAGTAAGGATTAGTAGTGGGCCAGAAAATAGTAGGCATAATTTGAGCACCAGAGGGGTGCTATAGAAGGACTTGGTATTGAAGGCATAATATCTCTTAATCTGGCTCAGGTTTAAAAGAATCCAGGTAGCCACTTAGACGTGTGGCTGTCAAGTACCTGAAATACGGCGATGGTGATAAGGAACTGAATTCCAAATTTTATATAGTTCTTGAAATTGATATTTCACTTACATAATTCTTAAAATTGATATTTGATTTAGGTATTGGAAAACAAATAAGTTCAGAAACAACTTGGGCATGTGCATGGACCTTTTAATCTGTAAATTTTATACAATCCAAATACAGACTTTTTCTGATGAATTTAGTACTAAATTGATGTATGTTACAAGCATAAAATATGCTCCAGATTTTAAAGACTTAGTCCAAAAGAAGAAAGTAAAATATCTCATGAATAGTTTATATATATATTTAGATTTTATATATTTATTTTTAGGGAGAGGGGAAGAGAGGGAGAAAGAGAGGGAAAGAAACACTGATCGGTTGCCTCTTGTGTGCCCCTAGCTGGGAACCTGGCCTGAAACCCAGGCATGTGCTCAGACCAGAAATCAACTGGTGACCTTTTGGCTCAAGGGATGACACCCAACCCACTGAGCCACACCAGTCAGGGTGAATAATTTTTATATTGATTACATGTTCCAATGATAATATTTTGGTTATACTGAGTTTAAACATGTGAAAATTAATTTTATGTGTTAATTTTTTTAACATAGCTACTAGAATATTTTAAATTACGTATGTGGTTTGGATTTTACTTGTTTTGGACGGTGCTGGCCTAGAATACTCCTTTTGGTGCATGGATTAATTTCAAAAGAGGTGACAGCATGACAGTTATTTCATGTTTGAAAGTCATCTACTTTCCCGGTGGAGATTTGGGGACCCCAAGGGTTGTTATTACAATATTTGAAACCTAATAGTATTGTTTTGCAGAATTCTAGGCAGGACTTGTGCCTTATTCAAGGTCAACAAAATATGCAAGGGTACTAGGAGGGCTAGTGCGGGCAGCATGGGAAAATTTAAGTACCCACATATCTGGCTATGGCTGCTTTTGTGAAAGGCTCCTAGGTATGCTAGAATATAGCACAGTAACAATTGTGACACCTGGTGGCATCTTAGTGATTCCACTTATCATTCACCTTTGTTCATTTTCTCTTCATCATTTACTTTCTCTACTCATTCCCCATCCTAGCTCCACTGGTGGTAACTGTGCCCAGAAAATTGCAGACCCCTGTCCTCTGAAAAATACAGTGCTGATTTCAATAGATAACAGTTCTGTGTTGGGGGTTTGGTTTTGTCTCATGAGTTTCTGTAACGTTTCTTACCGAAAGAGACTTAGGGGCCATTTAGTACTATCCTTTTCATTTTATCATTGACAAACTGTCAAGTACCTTGCCTAAGACCATACCTACAGAGGCTGGAATTAAACACACACTTTTGTTGATAACCTATTTAGAGAATCCCTGGGAAATGAAGAGGTTCATCAATTAATCAGATGTTTGTTGAGCTTGCACTTTGTGGAAAGCATCCCTACTGCTGGTGTTGTGAAGGGATGTGAAAACAATCTCTGACTTCAAGAACAACACTGTTGCTTTAAGTAAATAAGAGGTAAACAGTGCTAAATTAAGTTATAGTGCACGATAGAGCATTTAATAATAATGAGTGCAACCCCACTGTGGCATATTTTACAAGTAGAAATGTGTTCATTTTACAGATGCAGAATAGAGGATCTGAGAAAGGTGAACTCTGCAGAAAAGAGGAGTATAATTGTGTTTCTGGAATGGCCCCCGGCTCTACAATTGGAGGTCAGTACAAATCTTTGGTATTGCCCCCTTTAGCTGCCTATTAAGGGAATTTGAGAATTTAAGACCCAGCATTTTTAAATGGCACTGCTGCAGTAATGAGATCATGAGTTAATTGGAGACAGGGATTTTAGAGACGAGTAGCTAGGGGTGGATCATTTTGACTAGTTACTCTAAAAGGGTATAATGCTGAGGTGAAATCAGAGTAAAAGTGACTTGTGAACAGAGTATAAAATCCAAACTCTGGGGAAAAAATAGATCTAGAACAAAAGCAGAAAGTAAAATAACTGTGTAGTAGACAGTTGGACTGAAAGTGTGTATGCTTAGTGAACGTGTAAGAGGTAAGAGCCATATAACAGAATTTATGGGCCAGTCCATTTATTTGTGAATTTTAGTCTCCTGGAGCCTTTTTGAGCAAGAAAGCACATTCCTGTTTCTTTCTGTACATTGTTGTATACATAGGTCTTTTCCTCAAGATGGACCTGCTATGAGTTATGGAGCATGAGACTATTTACAGGTCAGTGCTTTATTAAAGTAGGTAAACAGTGACACCCCCATTAATGCTTCTGTGTGAGAACTAGGGCAGACTTTGCACAGGGCAGTGGTCCTCAGCTTTTTCTTGCCTTTTCAACCAATTTCTCAAAGTTTCCTATTAAACTTTGGCACAAGTTACTTTTAAAATACACTTAATGTAGTGAAGCTTTGCAATAACATGCAAATATATATTCTTCATATGTCTCTCAAAGCAGTCTTTTGTTGGCAATACATTCTTGTATCACAGTTTGGTCAAATATAATGTCACCGAGTTGAATTATGGTTTTCACATTGGGGAAAAAATCACACATCAGTAGGAGACTGGTAGATTTAAATTAACCTATTTTGGTTTAAAAGTGTTTTCAAATATTTTGTAGTGCCAGCAGCTTACTAATACCTCCAATTATTTATTATATAATCAGATGCTTAAAGGTTCAAAATCACCATATTTTCATTTTTGGTCCATAGATAAGAGGGACGTAAGATGGTTTTTGTGTGTGTTTTCACTACACAAGATTTAAAAGCAAGTTTTTTAGTATGCTAGTCTCCAGAAGTCCTTATTTCCTAGATGATATTTGGTGCATGCATCATGAAGAGATCGTTCTCAGCTGTATCATTTTTATCATAGAAGAACTAAATTTAAATCAATTTATTCTCTGGAGGAAAGCATTTTACATCACTTTCTTTTTCACTGTCTTACCGTACACTGCACTTTCATGCTGTAGCAAGAGCACCTGCATTCGCTTGTTTTAAAATTAAAGTAATTCCATTTTTATGAAGAAAAATCTTTGGAAAAAGAAATGTTTCTGGTAGATTGGGGTTTTTTTAAATGCACATTTATAAAGAATAATTTCCAAGAAGAAACAAAACTTAACATTTTGAAGCATTTATTTATTAGTACTTATAAAATACAGTTCTAAAAACCCATAGTTTTCTTCCTTGAAACTGCTTTAGAATTTATTCTGAGAGGATATTAATTTCAGTAATTATTCACAGAGTGACGATTTGCTTTTTATTACTTGGTCTCTTGGGGTCTTTTTTAGACCCCAATTTATATAGAAAAAAAATTGAAGTGAGAGAAAAATGCAAAATAAAGGAAATACTCTCTACTTATTGTACCAAAAATGTTTAGTTGTATGGTTTTTGGTCTTGGTCTAATAGAGTGAATTTAACTCTGTGGTATATTACCAACATTAAGTTTATCTTTCTGTACTTCATATTTAGACATTCAGTTGCACTAGTATTCAGTCTTAAAGAACAGTCTAATAACTAATCAGTACATCAGTGTCATTTATTTGTTCCCATACTTATCCTCCCTCCAGTATTTCAGTGTGAGTATTCATCTTTTCTAAAGTGGACAGAACTTCTGGCCAGGAAATGTTAGGTGCTTATCTTTTTATCCTTTCAATTGATCAGCTGTCTTACATTTTATTCTCAAATAATCACAGTATCTTTGTTCATTTAACAGATGTTTATAATTTGAGTGAAAATGTGAAGCTATTTCCAGGAATCTTAGGTTATGGGATCCAACTTTTTCTTAAAAAAAACTTCATTGCCCTCTCGTGTTTTAACTTTGTATTACATCAGTTGGCTAAGTCCTAGGCAATGACCTGTTTAACTTTTAGCTATTTTTGTGCTTTAGAGAATGTTATTTTAATCTGTGTGTATGTTTTTTCATTGGATATTAATTTTCCAGAGATAGGTCAGTTTCATAGTGCATAAAAGTTACTAATTGAGCTAGAATCATTGTACTCTCTTTTTTTACTTCTGATCTAAAGAACTGATTCATCTTCTGACTTATTTGAAGTACAGTGCTAGCATCTAAAATGAATATAATGAGTTTTGAAACTACAAATGCCTAATTGAAAACATAATTATTTTTCAAATACCTGTCAAGTTTTACACCTGTTGAAATAACTTGAGAACTATGATTGACATGGGAAAAAATGAGTGAATCATGATTTTCCTAAGTTGGTATTCTAAAGCCTGGATTCCAATTTCAAAATCTTTTTTGTACTTTTTAAATAAAAGTAAGAATCATCCCTGAAACGACTTCAGGGTATGTCTCAGAGGTACAGTTAATTTCAAAGCACATGATGTAGATACGTTGATTTTTTCAAGAAGGCATTCCAGAGGTGGTCAGTGATTCTTGTACCACCGTAATTGTAGGGCTGACACTGACTGCAGTGAAAACGCCCAGCAGGTGTGCTCAACGTGTAATCATCAGTGTCATCAACTCGAGTATGTTCTTAGCACTCAACAAGAACACTATCATTTTTTTTACTAATGTACATTTCTTAAATCACAAAACCCATACTAGTTTCTGCTTTATGAGATACTCAGAAAACTAAAAATCTTAAGCAAAAAATAGATGTTTTCAGAAATCTGTTTGTATAAATTGTGCAATCTGAATATCCAGTTGATGGAGTTGAATGGCCAGATTGGGGTAGAGGGAAAAAAGCCCTGGGCTCAGTCATAAGACATGGATTTGAGTCCAGGTTCACCATAACTTAGGGCATAGTCTCAAGTAAAATACCTCACCTCTATAGGTTTTTATTTTCTATCTGTAAAATTGGCTAACGATATCTAACCCATTTTCAGAATCCTTTTTTGATCAATTTAATGAATAAACTAATTGACAACCCAGTAAGGTTCTTGTGGAGAACCAAATGAGAAAGCACATAGAAAATTATTGAATGTCAGGCAAAAGTGAAGTATTATTGCTGTGTTTGGGAGCATTTTGAGAACAGACCATGTCTGACTTACCTGTTTTTTTTCAATCCTCAGTCGAGGATGTTTTTTTATTGATTTTAGAGAGGGGGAGAGAGAAAGAAAGAGACAGAGAGAGAGAGAGAAACATCTATCAGTTGCCTCCCATAGGCACCCCAACTGGGGATTGAACCCTCAACCTAAGTATATGCCCTGACTGGAAATTGAACCTGCAACCTTTTGGTGTAGGGGACAGGGCTCCATCCAACTGAGTACCCAGCCAGGGCCATGTCTTACTTGTCTTAATTAAGCATCCAGAAGAGGTCTTGGAACATTTTGGTCCCTCAATAAATATTTGTTTCATGAATGATTGAGGTCAGGGATCGAGTCAGTGAATGTGTGCATAGAAGAAATACATTGTGAAATAAGCTGGAAAGCTTACTGCATAATCTGTTTGCTCATTCGCATTAATATGTACAAATCATGTGTTCATCTTTCATTCTGTTATAATTCAGCTGGGCCTCTTAATATTTCAGCATCACCATTTGCTGGTCTGTGAACCCACTTTTTATTCTGCTTTCCCTCATCTCGAACCAGAAGGGGATCTTTAGTCTTCTACTTCATGGGAACTTTCAGAGAGAGTCATTGGTCGCCTGGAAAGGACTCCACCAGCCTGCACAGTGACTGACAGGCTGCCCTGGCTCAGTTATCACAGTGCTGATGCTGTCCATTCTAAAGGTACAGTACTGTGATAACTGAAGGATGGCAGCCATCTTGCCTTCCATCAAAGGAGCCATCGTGCCCAGAAAGGAAGACAGAAGATGAAAGAGGCGTGTGAAACAGGTGCAGGGGTCCAGAAACCCTCTCCACTCTTCCTGTATTGTACTTTCCCTAGCACGGAGCGAGTGTTATTCCCTCTGTCTTTGCCTTATTTTTAACATGGGGATAAAGGAAGTTGGGTAGTTGTTTGCACAGCAGCATGAAGACTTATACTGAATTGATACATATTATGATCTTTGGAGCTTTTAGGAGACTGATATAAGTACTGAGTGTGAATGAGTATTTTGGGAGGGAAGTTCAGAGAAATCTGTGCTGTTTTTATAAATATAAATGTTAGCCTAATTAGAGTAGCTTGGCACTTGTCAATATAACCTACTCAAAGTGCAATTCAGCTTAAATGGAGAAAAAAAGCCCTACATGCTGAACAGTACTGATACAGTTCAGCGGTTTTCACCCTTTTTCATCTCATGACACATAATAAACTAATTACTAAAATTCTGTGGCCAGTCTGACCAAAAAATAGGTATAATGTTGATTCATTGACATCAGACAACTTTCGTTCGGTGGACATTGTCATTTATTTGACGGTCTAAGGGGAAAGAGGTCGGTGCCCCTAAATAAATAATCAAGTATCACACATTTTAAAAATTCTTGTGGTACACTGGTTAAAAATCGCTGATATAGTTGCATGAATAAAATTACATCTTTTTGTTTAAGAAATGGGTATGGATGTAGCATATTTTTTTCTATAACATGAATGTTTAAACTCTTGTGTAATTCAAAACAGTGTTTGTTGAATGCCCATGTTATTGCTGTTGGTGTCACCTTTACATGAAAATAAAAGTTACTTTTATCAACTAGTTAAGGACCACCCTGCAGTGACATCTATAGGAAATTTTACAGTGCACACACCTTCAACCTGCATCTTATTCTAGGGAGTACTACTGGGGTGAGGTTACTAGAGAAGCCAGGGTTTTCCCCATCCTTCCTCTCTTAAGACTCCTAAGACATGGACAGCAGCAGATGAGCATTCAAGCGCATAACTGTCATATGTTAGATTGCAATTGGCTTCAAGACTCAGGTAATTTCATGTAGTTTAGGCTCAATGCCTAAATAAAGATCTCTTACCTTTTCCCAGGCTCATGTCTATCTGGGTACCTCACCACAGTGGATGGCTGGCCAGTGAGGAACCCAAAGCAGTGACCCGTGTGCTTGGGCACAGAGAGAACAAGGCCTGTGAAGGTCAGGCCCTACTGGGACCTGCTGGTTACCACAGGGTGAGAAGAGCCAGCATGAAGGAAAACCGTGTATGTGATGTTTTAATGTATACGAGTCCTAACTTGCTAATCAGTGCAGCCCAGTCATTGTCTTAGACTTTGGGCCATTTGTATTATAAAGTCCTTCACTGAAACTTGAGTAAGGAGGAAAGGGAACAGGAAGCAAGTGGCAAGGCAAAGAGGCTTAGTTTCACCCTTCATCATCCAGTCCTCAGACATTCCTGGTCACTGTTCTTTTGCTGGTTCACACAATTCTTTCTCTGCTCTTCTCTCTTCTGCTCCTGAAATAACCCCTTGAGGTACACCTGCTTGTCACTGAATTGTTATTTTCCATGTGGCAGTGACCACATGATGGCCCTGTATCTCACATACCTTCATGTATTTAGAATTTCTGTAAACCACAGCCAAGACTTATGTTCCTGATTAATTATAGGGAGCAACGGCTCTGCCCAGTTGTGTATTATCCCACCAGCCCTGCTCCTTTACTAGAAAAGGAATTTCTGACAGAAACCCTGGAAAAACTTCTAAGAAAAGAAAGTTCTGGGATTGGTGAATTCTCGAGTAATTTGGAACACTCCTACTTTTTAGTAGTATAGCAGGTGGAAAAAAGTGCTTTAGGGAGTGAGGTGTTGTGCAATCATTGGCCTTGGTGAGGATTTCGCCACCTTCCCTGATCTTCCTGTTTTCCCATTACTAGTTTCCATAAAAACGCAGGTTTTATACTTACCCAACATTGATCCCAGGATCCGCACCCAAGTCTGTGGGGTGTACAGAGGTGAGTGTTGGAGCATTTCTACAGACAGAGCCACACTGGGTCCTGCTTCCTGTCAGTAGAGAAGCTTGAGGCCCGGTTTGCCTGTAGGAGCTCCATGAGATTTGCCTAGGCCTGGAGGTCTTTAGCATCCTTGAGGAGTTCAGAGATGCAAAGTGTTCCAGCAGGTTAAATGAGTAATGCAAGAGAAATCTGATGGGGTTTTTCCACTGCTTTGATTAAAACACACACAAAGTGTGTTGGTTGCTATGTTTGTTGTGTTCTTTGATTGAGGTATGTGAGAGTGGGAGGAATGGCATAAAACTAGAATACCAAATGATCCAGCAGTTCCACTTCTAATATATGCCCAAATGAAAAACCTTGAACATATACCAGCGTTTACAGCAGTATTAGTCACAATAGTCAAAAAACAAGGTACCCACATGTGCATCGATGGATGAATGGATAAACAGAATGTATATACATAAAGTGGAAGATTCAGTTTTAAAAAGGAGGAAACTCTGACGTGTGCTGGAAACATGGATGAACCTTGATGTGCTAAGCGAAGTATGCCAGACACACAAGGACAAATACTGTGTGTTCCACCTGTGAGGTATCTAGAATAGTCACATTCTTAGATCCAGAAAATGGAATGGTGGTTGCCAAGGCTGGAGGAAGGGGGGATTGGGAAGTTAATGGTTTAATAGGTACAATTATTGGGGAAAATGAAAAAATTATGGAGATGAATGGTGATGGTTTCACAACAGTGTGAATGTACTTAATGCTGCAAAAGTGTGCACTTAAAAATTAGTTAAAATAGTAAATTTTATGTCTTTCACCACCAAAAAAAGCTTTTCAGGGTAATAGCACTATTACAGCCAACGACAGGATTGAGCTGATGGCTCTCTGTCTTCAGGGTGAAAATAATTGCTGTTTCTTGTAAGCAATTAAAATGTAATTCCTGTGTCCTTAGCAGTTGAAGTTCTCTTGTGAAATGTTAGAGGTATTTCCAAGGTTTCTGACAGCACAGCTTTAAAATTTTGTGAAATGTAAATAAAACCTACAGTGAAAGTACTGAATTAGAAAAAGACTTCAACCAGAAATTAAATGATGGGGCATCTCTTGATGGCTTAATGCCTTTTATGGTGAAATTGGGCAACTCCCTGGACCTCTTCACACTCCACCTCTTTGGAGTTGTGGTAAAGATGACTATGGGGACTTCCGGCAAGATGGAGGAATAGGTGGACGCACCATGCCTCCTCGCAAAACCAAGATTAGAACAACAATAATTTACAGATAGAATATCACTCAGAACTGACAGGATTTATCTGAATGGAAATCGGACAGCCAAGAAGTTGAAGTAGACCCGTACATCCAGACTGGTAGGAGACGACGAGCCGGTCGGGCACGGGGCTGGCGTGGGTCGGAGGCACACGGAGGTCGGGGAAAATTTGGCGCGAAATCAGCGAGACAGCCATCCGGGGCGCAAGAACGCAGTGGTGATCCCTGAGTACGCAAGCTGCGGCTGGCGGACCCTGTGGGGCAGCGATTGTGGACCAGGGCAGAGCTCGCAGCCCAGGATCCCAAGGAAGGGCCTGAGCCCGGGAGAATGAAACTATCGCCATTGTCCCCTCCCACTCCCGCCCCCGCCCACACATATAACGTCACAATCTAGCGACGGGTGCCCAGCCCTGGTGAACACCTAAGGCTCCTCCCCCCACCGTAACAAGAGCGACCAAAGACAGGGAAAGACATAAGACATGTATCCAACAGAACAGATCAGTTCCCCAGGACTCATCCTTTTGAACGGCCAAGAAATAGCCAATCTATCAGATGCACAGTTCAAAACACTGGTGATCAGAAAGCTCATGGAATTGGCTGATTCTGGGCGCAATTTAGATGAAAGGATGCAGGTTACCATAAAAGAGATGCAGGAAGATACGCGGAGGAGAGCGCGTATATAGTGAAAGGAAGGAATCTGAGTCTCAAAACAATACAGTGGACCAGAAGGAAGATAAAATCAACCAAGCAGGAAAGCATGATGAAATAAGAATTTAAAAAATCGAGGAAAAGCTTAAGAGCATCCAGGACACCTTTAAATGTTCCAACATCCGAATTATAGGGGGTACCAGAACAGGAAGGAGAAAAGCAACAGATGGAGCACGTATTTGAACAAATAATAAAGGAGAACTTCCCCAATCTGGCAAAGGGAACAGTCTTCCAAGAAATCCAAGAAGCTCAGAGAGCCCCAAAGAAGTTGGACCCAAGAAGAAACACACCAAGGCACATCATAATTACATTAGCCAAGGTAAAAATGAAGGAGAGAATCCTAGAAGCAGCAAAAGATAAGGGGACAGTCACCTGCAAAGGAGTTCCCATCAGTCTGTCAGCTGATTTCTCCAAAGAGACCTTATAGGCAAGAAGGGGCTGGAAAGAAATGTTCCAAGTCATGAAAGACAAGGACCTACATCCCAGATTGCTCTATCCAGCAAAGCTCTCATTTAGAATGGAAGGGAAGATAAAGTGCTTTTCAGATAAGGTCAAGGTAAAGGAGTTCATCATCACCAAGCCCTTATTTTATGAAATGCTAAAGGGACTTATCTAAGAAAAGAAGATAAAGAAAAGACATGTATAGTAAAAGGACAGCAAACTCACAATTATGAACAACCACACCCAAAGCAAAACCAAAAGAAACTAAACAACTAGAACAGGAACAGAACCACAGAAATGGAGGGCTAGCAGCAGGGGGGTGGGAGGAGGAGAGAGGGGGAAAAGGTATAGAGAATAAGTAGCATAAAATGTAGGTTGATAATAGGGGGAGGGCAAGAATAGTACGGGAAATGTAGAAGCTAAAGAACTCATAAGAATGACACATGGACATGAACTAAAGGGGGAACGTGGTTGGGAGAGGGGGTACAGGGTGGAGAGGAGAGAAGGGGGGAAATGGGACAACTGTAATAGCATAATCAATAAAATACATTTTAAAAAAAGATGACTATGCCTGGCTGGCATAGCTCAGTGGAATGAGCGCGGGCTGGGAACCAAAGTGTCCCAGGTTCGATTCCCAGCCAGGGTACATTCCTGGGTTGCAGGCCAGAACCCCCAGCAACCACACATTGATATTTCTCTCTCTCTCTCTCTATCTCCCTCCCTTCCCTCTCTAAAAATAAATAAATAAATCTTAAAAAGAAAAGAAAATCTTTCCCTTAAAAAAAAAAAAGATGACTATGTAAAATGTATACACGTGTGTATATACATGGTCGTTTTGATGTCTAAAGCAGCATTGCAATGTGCCATATTATTTACCCTTGAAATGTAGAAGCACACTGAGATGATAGCATTAGCAGTTTTAAGTTGAAGTGTTCAAAAGCATTCTAATTTCACTTGCAACTCAGGTATTATCAGCCTCATTAAAAGGAGTGTTCCGTAGCTTGCTCTTGGCCATGGAGATTTTTCTATTACATGTTTAAATTTGAAGATAAAGGAAATTAAAAGCATATGGACTAGAAGTGGATGGCAATAACCTTCTCGAAGGACTCACGTGTTTTATTAGCCAAGGGTAAAAAGCATTCATTTGCGGTCCTGTCTACTTCATCACAAAGCTCCTACTTGGGGCTGTTCTTTGGACATCAGATTCAGGTGTAGGAACTGCCCCCACCAGATTTCATGCCGTATTCTACCTTGATCACACCCCACAGAGTTGGAGCCAAGAGTGAGCTTTTCTCCCTACCACACCAATTTCAAGTAGTTTGCTGTGTTTAGTACATTTTTTAGTTTCTCTGAATAACCAGCCAATTATAAACATGCCACAATTTTGTGTA